GGCGAAAGTAGGCACTGATATGAGATGCCAAAGCGAGGCCATCTCACTGAAGTGACTTCTTATGGGAGTTAATACCAGCACATCATTTTACAGCCTCTCCACGTATTTTCAGCTTGCTTGGATTCAGCACTGAGCTTTGCCTCATAAATGCCTTGATGCTTCAACTACCCACATTGATTTGGATAGCTTTCGCAGAGCGCTTTCTCTTGTGCAGCGACGTATCTCTTGGACTGAAGCTATCTTATCTTTATACTCTTGTGGAATGGTATCTGGTCCTGTACAAGAAAAATAAGGAAAATTAAAAAAACTGAAATGGCTGTTCACTTACAGTGCAAAGGATGAAGATATGTAATAAGGACCACTTACCATAACCATGAACATGGGTCCATGACCTTACTGTAATTTCGTACATGTCAGGATCAGAGAGCATCATTGATGCTGCATCAACATTCAGTGGTGAGTGGGGATTGGGCATTGTCAAAAGTGCCCGCAGGGCCTCAACCACCATAAGGAGGGTAGTTCCACAAGACCAATACATGGGTTCCAGAATATCAACGCAAATTGAGCCTAATGTTGATATGTTAGGGTGCCACATTGATGTGGTAAAATGAGCCTAAAAATGGAAAAATGTAACAAATTAACAACAAAGAAGAGAAGGGACAACTTACACCTACATCCTTTATGGATCAGAACATTTCTTTGAATTAAAAACACTGCAGACTCAAAGGCTGAGATCAAGTAAGTTCAAGTTCTGTATGTTGACATACTTACCCTAGGTGGTTTGAAGGGGTAATCGTCAGGTAACGATAACTTGAGGCCAAAACTTCCACCAGCAAAGGGACTATCTCCAGGTCCAGAAATAACTATTTCAATTGGGTCCATTAAATCATCAGGGAGATCAGTTACAATATAGTTGATTTGCTGGAACAGGGAAAATGGTTGAATTAGTTAATTTATCCTTATCAGGCTATGGAGAACAAAATTTTCTCAACCCCATGCTCAAAGCAGTGGCGTTAATTTGCAGATGTTTAATGAACGATTGTGGTTTTATTGCTGCGCGTGACAGACTAAAGACAGACCATCATGGCTCATATTCACAAACTAACAGAAGTTACAATACATAAGTGTTTGTACGAAAAAGGTAGGTGTGCATCTTATTACTACAATGTTGTTACAATACTTTTATAGAAGAAGGATAGGAGCAATGAATGAGACGATACACTAGAGATCACAACCAAACCAAAGACACAAAGAAACGACATGGAGACGTCAGTATGATGTCTGCTTGGCCTATAAAGTCGCAATTGCGTCAAAATTCGAGGTAATCTTGATCTGACGTTGTTGACTTTACTTTCTTTATATTTTTTATTTGGGGGGGGGGGGGGGGGTTATTGCACGGTTAAAATACTTCAAGAGAAAAGAATAAATAACCCAAAAGGTATACAATCACACTCCTAGGATCACCAACGTAGAACCAACGAGTTGTGTGAGGGCCAAGTCCAGTCCACGTGAATAACGTAAGATCCACGGCGCCTAAACAATGTCACACCCCTCACACGGACAAGACTACGGATACGTAGCTTCCCATGGCGATAGTACGATACATTATATTGGGTCTAAGGTTACAAGTTAAAATACATTTAAATTAGGTTTCATGAACCACATTGCTTTTGAGATGAGTCCTGGCGGACTTCAACCGCCGAACTTGAGCGAATATGCACTACAGAGCAAACCAAACCCATCATCAACTCACATTGTTCATTAATAGCACCCGTTCTTTCGCCAACCTCCGGTTGTGAGAATCGCTGGCACGAGAATCAGACATTATAATTTCACAGTGAAATCTCTCACGACCGTACGAGAGCAGAACCAGCAAGACCAACGAACCAACCCAACACACGTGCACGCGACGACTGTGGGAGGGATAATGGAAACGGAAACGGATGTCACTTTTATTTCCCCCTCTCGAGGAGCGTTGTCTTCTGTTGAAAATAGACTGTTTCGCCCCAAACTTGGCAACAGCGCATACCTCCATCTGAATTTGTAATTTGGGCACATTTTCAAAAAAATAAATACACTTGAATACGGTAAATTTACCAAGGATTCGAGCGGTTATATAAGCACTTTAGTTGACAAGACACCCGAAAGACGGCTAATCTCAAGTGTTAAATCTGACTTGCGGCGTTGGGCGTTGCCACGCTGTGCGCGAAAAGGTCTATAACAGAAGAAAACAGAAGAACAGGCTTGGGGGTAGTCCAAAGGCCTTATATAGCCAGCCATAAAGAGCTCCCAACTTGATAACCAAGATGTGAATATCACTTGTGCCAGAACCTGATTGTGGTGTGATCGCCTGCTTAGAGCAGTGGTAACATTGTTAAGTTTGTCAAATTAGTGCTTGCTGTTTGTGATGTACCGAGAACGAGGAAGACGAAATGGGAGTTTTTATTATCATGTTGGCGATGGCTACCACTACAAACTGGAGCGCGCAACAGACACTCAAGCATATTTTGTTTGCCATCAATTTGGTTGTCACGGAAGAGCTGTGTATAGGGCAAATGGAGTGTTCGAGCACACACAGATGCACTTACATCCTCCCGATGTGCTTTACACTGACGTGCAGGAAGCAAGAAGAAACATAGTAGACCATGCAAGATCTCTGACCTACGTATCATTTGCCGATATAATTGCAAGTGAAAGGAGCAGGTAAAGGCTAGTACGGCAAATTCGACTCGTCATCGATTCGATTTTGTCCACCAAATCGACGAAATTTCGACGTCGATTTGAAACTCCATTTCTCATTGGGAGGGAAGTGTAAATTCCGTAAACTCCCGATTTTGTTCAGACTCGACATACACTTCTGATCAGAATTCGAGGCGCACTTTTTTGAGCCGGAGTATTTTCTAAGTCGCTAGAACGTCAAGATTTGGCCTGACGACGTCTCCATAGTTCGTCTTGCACCCCACCAAGTGCGCACCCCTTGCACCACCCCATACGGCCTGGCCCCTAGAGTAAGCAGGGATAGAAAATTCAACACGAATTGTTCCGAATTTGTCACTTTAAATGGTCGGAAAGTCGAAATTTTTGATTTACCGGCTCAAATTTGTGTTCTCTTTCGAACGGGGCTAGAGAAATGGCGATCGTTCAAACCCACCCCCTGCCCCGTTCACCCCCACCCCCACGAAGGAGTGAGTCTTGAGGATGACCAAAACTACCGTGATATCCCCTGGGGACAACCCCACGGCACATGTGTTTTTTCGAATCGGACAACCCCCGGCCAAACTACCCCCGCGAACGTGCAATCCCTTTTTGAACATCGGCCATTTTGGACCCTTACAGTTGAAACTTTGGCTTGAAACCTCAAGGGAAGGTCTCTTTTTTCATTAGAACACATCCATGCTGAGAAACCCGGTGTCAACATCTTCAACCCTTTCCCAGGGGGTAGCTACCCCCGAGCGGCCCTGCACCCCTTTTGAAGGGGATGGAGGGTAGGGTCCAGGCGGATCTGTTAAAGAACGCCCAAGGAAGCTGCCCTCAAAGTTTTCGTGTCGGTAAAACCAACCGCTCCGCTTCCAGACTCGATAAACTGGCAAATCTTTCAAAAACTACCCCCAAGTTCAGCCTGCCCTGTCGCCGAACTGAGGTGGGGTAGCGCCTACATTCAAAGTTACCCACCTGTGAAGACGGTACTGCACTGGATTAGCAGGTGGCAGAGCCGGCACATATGTGACTGCCTTAGATTAGAACATAATATGTTTCTTTTCTGACACAGGATTCCCAATCGAGAAGTGCGAATGCAGCTGACGTTGCGTCGATTGCGCCCAGCAATGCTAAGAAGGCGAAGGGAGATTTTTCCAAACCAGCCGGATGACCTGGCTGGGCTGACAGCCATTCTACGAAACCCTGCCTATGAGTGGCTAACTAAATCGAAAGATTTCCAGGACAGAATGTACCTTGGGTCCACATGGTCAGCGGATGGGTCACACAATGTTATATTTATGAGTTCAAGGTGCCTACAAATTATGAGGCTGACTTCCATAATTTTTGCTGATGGGACATTTTATATTGCTCCTTCAGTAGATGGCTGCTACCAGGTAAAATTAAAATAGACACACATTCAAACATCTATCCAGAATAAACTAGTTATTTAATTATGTTATTTTGAATATTGACAGGTTTTTACACTAGTCACCATTTCCAACCATACCGTAAGTTTGTTATGCTCTTTTTGCAATACTTGGTCACTATATGGTCACTATATATACAGTGCCCCTTTTTAATTGCAGGTAATTCCTCTCTGTTGGTGTTTGATGGAGAGAAAAACAGAACATGCTTATGTTGCTGTGTTACTTCTAATTAGACAGCAATTAATGCACTGGAATTTCAGACGAGTTGTGAGTGATTTTGAAGATGCCATCATTAATGCATTCAGATATGTTTTCCAAATTGAAGTACAAGGCTGCTACTTCCATTCTGTAAATGTAAGAAGTAAACAAAGTTTATAGGCTTTTCAGAGTTACCTATGTAGTTACAAAATGTCAATTTTGTTTTTAAAGAAGCTACATAATGTTAAACTGCAAGACAGACCTATGAACCATTATTATAATTTTACAACTTCACTAATTTTTATTACTTTGTAATTTACAGGCCATGGGCAATCATGCCAGATTAACAATTAGTATTCAGATACTACATTACTTTCCAGAGATTAAGAATATTGTTCGCCTGTGCTGTGTACTTCCTTTGCTACCACAACATCTAATTCAACAGGGCTTTGAAATCATTGGAGAAATGGCAATGGAAGAGCTAAACATTTTCCTCTACACATGTTTTGCTAGGCCATACCTAGAGTACATACAATATGAGTGGCTCTACCATGCCACCAGAGGACCAACACTGTCTGTGAGTGGAAGTGAGCACAGAACAAACAATGCTAGGTATGACGTCTCCTTTAGTTCTTAATTATATTCCATGATCTAATCTGGTTTCCAGGGGAAACGGTTTGGTGTTGTTAAGGGTAGAATATTTTGAAAATCACCAAATTGAATTGACTTATAAGAGGTAAAATTTGAAGTGAGGGTCTTTGGTACATCTAACTATGATCAATTGAAGCATGAGGGCAAGTACAACAAACAATTGTAAATCACATTTTTAATTCGGGCCCTCATTTTAAATTCCACCTCTTTGGCCCAAAAAATTTTCTAAATGTGAAAACTTTTAGTCGTACACAACTGACATCCTTACAGCCGAGCTAATTTAAGAATTTTTATTTTTGTAGTGAAAGCAACAATCGACGTATGAAGCGGAGTATTGGAGTCCATCACCCAAATATCTACCACTTCATAAGTAAGTTCCGCATTAGCCCAAATCACATTTACAGAATTGATTACCTAACTTGATCGCAATGAGTAAAAACTCTATCTTAAATTAAAGGGCACCTGGTCGATTTTGAGGACATGGCGCTTGATAACTTCAACAGCCTGACTGGTGCCATCCTTCCAAACCGACACAGAAATCATGAGTCCATCAGCAATGATGCTTATATCATGGCAATCACCTCACAGCTAATGGTGAACAACAACCCCAATGATGAGCAAATTCTGACATTTTTAATATCTGCAGCAGTCACATTGGAAGATATTTTTGCTGAGTTGTTCCATTAATATTAATAATCACCCTGCAACTAATGCCCTCCATCCGCTTCAATAAGTCAGTCTGAACAAAACCATTTGGATACAGAGTCAATGTATCAAAGTCAAAACTGCTCCTGTTCAAAGGTGGACTAGCTGTATGACAAGATAGCTCAATTTCTGAAATAGTATTTTTGTAAGTGCATGAAAATTTTCATAATAAGTCTAATATTGTAGGAACAGTTTACAATTGTGTTGTGTAAGAAGTTTTCATATATGTGACTATAAATGTGAAGTTATTAGACAGATTTCCACTAAAAATTAATGAAGAAAGCATATTTATTTTACTATAATTGGTAAGATGTTAAGCGCAAGACCATTCTGCACTACATCACATTATTAATATTTGGCATTCCAAATTCAAATGTATTTTTTTTTTTGCATTGCAACAATCCTCCGCTCCCTATCAGAAAAATCCCATGTACAGAATATTTTACTCTCTCCACAACAGAGCAAAACCTATGAGCACACTCCTCTTTTAAGTAGCAGCACATGTGAATTCGATTTCTTTTGACTGCCTTTGCAGGTATAATTATATGACCAATAGTAAGTAAATTGGAGCATTCTTCTTGAGATTTCAATACCAAATCTCTCATGTTGGCAGTAAAAGGCACAGGTTGTAGGATACCAATAGAGCTATGCTGGCAAAATCATTCTAGTATCGGTTGACTTAATTATTTCGTTTATTTCATTTCAATTTTCAATATAGAGAAAATTTGCAGCAAAACATAGGCCGCCGCTGTGGGTTGATTTGCTTTTCAACAACATGATTAATTAACTTCAGAAACTTAAGATAGTAATTCATTAACAACGTTAATGTCATTAACGGATACCTATTTTAGTAGCAGAAACATACCCTGCACAACGAATGACCAATGCGTGAAATATATTTCTCTTATAAAATTCCAGAAAGAACCGGTAGGCTATAAATGGGAATCCTGATTTCATAGAAAACTTATATACAGGTGCAAAAGAAACTCTTTTCAAGTTAGGATAAGTTGTTGAACAGGAAGTTTGTACCCAGAACCATTGATAACATCTTCATATACAAATTATGTGATACTAACAAAATAATACAGGATTTCTAGATCATTGAAAAGATGAGAGCATTTCAGAAATATATAATCTAATTGGCATGGAATGTTACATTTAAGACATTCACACCTGAATTGAAGTGGAGACAGACTGTTCATATACTTACATTGAACACTGAATAAAAATGTACTACACTACTTCGATCAACAAGGAGATCTTGTCCACACAAAGAATAAAACTATTGAAGATGCTACCAGCCGTATGGTTCTGAAAACCTCAGTGCAATGAGAAAAATTTCATTGTTAGATGCGAAAGGACTTTACATATTGTTGATGTTAAACAATTTTAAGTCAGTAGTTAACTTCTGATTAAGCTTGCTAAGGCATAGGACTGAAATAATGTAACTAGCACCACTATTGGGAACTTGAAGTGGGCACTAAACCAAAGTACCTTTCAAATTAACTGCAGCATTTTCATGGTGTACCTCCTCATTTTTGTCCACCTCATTTGAGTTAAGAGTTTATTCTTTTATGATGGAGTCCATATGGCAGAGAGTATATCCATAGTGAACCATGAAACTACTGTATGCAAACAAATGAAAACAATCATAAACATAGTTGTTACAATTATAAAGGATAGATTAGACGCTGTATTTATTTTTCTGCATATCAGAATTTAATCTACCTCAGGTTGAAAATCCAATTGCATTTGTAACTTCATCCTCGCTGTCAGTGACCTTCTGAAATTTGTCTACATTCCTGCAAGTAAAACAACAATTGTGTTTAACAGAACTGAAAAGACACCAATTACCAATTACAGTGAAAACATATGCACAACTTGCTGTTAAAAAATATTTTCAAATTGATAGAAATGGTTTTTTACACCTTTTAAAATTGATAAGTATGAACAATATGTTAAACTACACAGATACAACTAATAAAGGTAGAGAGTAGCAGAACATGTAGCGTTGTATTTACAGTAAACCAAAGCAAAATGTTATTAAGGAGGGGAAAAAATTGATTCAAGGTGATAGCAAGTAATTCAACATTATTTTAAAAGGCAAAGACCAATAGTTACCTGGTTGACATGGGGGTGAATTTTCTTCACTGTCCATTCTCTCTCACATCATAAGCGTGGTGCAATAATTAAGCTGCTGCACCCCTAGATTGATGACCCTGTGGCTAGTGTGGCACTGTAAGTGAACAAATATTTAAGCATTAAAAAAAAGTATCACATGAAAAGAAAGTTAAAGATAAAAGCAAGCAATAAAAAAACATTTGAAAATGTAAAAGACAAAAAGGTCATCTGCCGCTTGACTGCTTAATCGTTTCTGTTCTCTTAATCAAAAGGGGAAGCATAAGATGCCGTCTCTCCATCAGCTTCATTTTTCTGGTGTAGATTTCATCGATGCTGGAATTGAACAGAGGACACTAATCACATTGGAATGCAAAGTTACATTGATTGGCTGGTGGGTGCATGGACTTACTTCAATGCTATTTGAGCTACTACCAGATGAAAATTCACCAAACGTTTCCTGCAAAACACATGTTTATGATTCTTTCAGTACACAGAATAAAATAGAACGATATAGGTGGGGAATCATGCAATCACCGCACACAAATTATTGTGAATAACAAAATGGGCAGAAAGTACGACTATAACCTAGCTACAACAAAGCAAAGATATTTGATATAGCACAGTCATGTAGAAAACGTTCACTTACTATGTAGAAAGACGAAGTTCTTGGAGGAGCCGCTGACTGCGACTCTTTTTCCGCCCAGGACTTGTACTTCTTCATTAACAGAATTGTGATTTGCAGTTTCGAACCTAACGTAAATGATCGTCTGGGTCGTCTCACAAACTGTGATTAACTGCAGAGTGAGGGAGGATGCAGAACTGGTGCTATCTAGCGGCAACGAGAGGTATCACGTCGCCACTCCGGGGTGCGATAGGCAGACCCGCAAAACACATCTACATTTTGGGGTGCCTACACACCAGGCGCCTGCTGCCACGCGAACGCCAGGAAAGGCAAAGACGATAGGGTAAATGGCCTAGCAATGCGATTGCAGCTAGAGAATTTCGACTTGCGATAAGGGACGTGCCTAGTAAGGTGAAGAAAAGAAGACGATGGTGGCGAAGCATAGTGCGGACGAACAACAAAGCGGATAGCTGCGTCGTAGAAATGCGTTTATCTTCGAGGAAGGTCGGCGAACGTAGGTTGGATGTCGTATTACTCAGCTTCGACCACCAGGCCGACGCGGCAGAGGTCGACAAGGTGGATGGCGTCGGCACGATCGGCCCCGCAGCGGGGGCAGATAGCAGACGGAACGATGTTGAAGCGGTGGAGATGGGCGGGGGTGGAGGCGTGTCCGATACGAAGCCGGATAAGGGAAGTCCGGATCTTGCGGCTGTAGCGCACCTTAGCAAACCAAGGGCGCGACGGTGGCGATGGCGAGGGCGTAAGGCGATGTAGGTGACGACCTGTGGTGGCGCCTGTCCAGGACGCCGTCCACACTGGAAAAACTAATGTTGCCGTGGGAACGTTTCACCATGTGACCAAGCCAGGTGACTTTTCCTGATGCAACCTACCCCATGCAAAAGGATAGGGACATCTCAAACAGGTTGCATCACCAAACGTTTCCTGGTTTGGTCACGTCAAGAAACGTTACCTCGATAACATTAGTTTTTCCAGGCCTGCAGGCCTCCCGAGCAATAATCAACTGGTCTCTATAGAAGACCGACGGGGGAAGGCGGAGCACAACGGGGTCGCCGTGCAAGCGGGCCGCATCAGCTGCAGCATCCGCGGCTTCATTCGGCGGGACGCCCTTGTGGGCCGGGACTCATGCCAGCGCAAGGGCAGCGGATCAGCTGGAGGGCGCTGCGGCGTACTTCAACGAGTTCCGCCGAGGTGGCAGCCGTCGGTGCAGCGGTAGAGAGGGCCTTGATGGCGGAGAGGCTGTCTGTGACAATGGTGACGTCACGGAAGGCACAACGGAGGGCGTAGTGGAGAGCCTGGGCGATGGCGTAGACTTCGGCCGTATAGACCGAAGAGGAGGCCGGCAAGGAGAAACACTCCGCGTGAAAGGTGACGGTATCATAGAAGGCCGCTCCGACCGTAACGAGGCCGTCGGCGTCCTGGGCCCGGGAGCCGTCAGTGGCGAGCACCCTGGTAGGTGGCGTAGACAGGGGCGAGGGAGGCGTCGCTGTGCACGACAACCGGAGCCGGCGGGAAGAAGGGGTAAGTAGTGATGGGGTGAGTCCAGTCTTGGTGATAAATAGCGTAGCAGGGCCAGGTGTGGTAGTACGGGTCCGCTTGAGGGGGAAGGGGGGGGGACGAGCCAGCGCTGCAAAAGAAGGGGCGGGATGTTGCTGAGGCGTCGGACGACAACCCCATGCGGGGCCAGGGCGGCGAGGCGGGCGAGAGCGGGGTGCTGATCCCTACTCCTCCAGCGAATCAGGAGACTGTCGGCGACCGCGGCTTCGACGTGCATCGCAAAGATGGGCGTGGAACACATAAGGCCGAGGCAGCAGCAGAGAACAGAGTGGACGATGCGGCTGACCGCCCGCAGGTCCTTCTTCGTACGGTGGTGGACGAGGCCGGCACCGTACTCAAGGGCCGGTCTGATGGTGGGGCGGTAGAGGTGAAGTAGGAGGCCAGGGTGGACGCCCCAGCGAACGGAGCGGAGGAACATGAGGCGTTGGTGGCATCGCCGCTGCACATGGCGTATATGGGCTCCCCAGTGAAGGAGAGGGGTGAGAATAAGTCCCAGGTAGCGAACCTCAACCGCACGGGGCACGGCCTCGCCGTGGACCCGCAGATGAGGAGGAGGGCGTCCTGTTGGCCGCGTGTGAAAAGGATGCAGGACGATTTTCCTGGAGAGAGAGCAGCCCCATCCTCATGGAGGCGCTGGGCGACTAGGGTGAGCGCTGCTTGTAGGGCGGCCAGAGCGCGGTGGGGGTCGGCAGCAGAGGCATACAGTACCACGTCAACAGCGTATTGGCACTGTTGCACGCTGAAAGGGAGGCCAGTGCAGAGGGCCCTATTCTTAATGATATGGAGGAGGGGGCTCATAACGGCCCCTTGCTAAAGCCCGAGGCTGCAGACCCGGGGGCCAACAAGCCGACCGCCGTGGGTCGTCCAGAGGACCTGATCATACATGAAGGAGCCGACAGCCTGAAGCTTGGAGAGGAGCCGAGCCGGGACGAAGGAGTTATAGGCGCTCGCAACGTCAAGAAAGACCGCAGCGCATGATGTGCCTTAGCAAAGAACGCATAGACGTCCGTGAGGAAGAGGCCGACGGCATCGGTTAGACTGGCACTTAAAAATCACTTTTTAGATTTTTAAAGGTCCTAGGGTCAGACTTTGTTTCTTTCGATGAGAAAAAAAATCTATTTTTTTTAGAGACCGATCGGACACGTTTTAGTGGTGCCGCAACGGCCCCAAAGTTGATTTATTTTAAATAACGACACTAAGTCACATAAACGTTAATAACTACCCTCCCCGATGTCCGATCGACGTCCGATTTTGACCAATAGTAGAGTATTATATAGGGCAACTTTCGTGCAAAGCCACCCCGCTGTAGCTCAAATACTTTCGGAGTTATGGCCGTTGAAAGATATTGGTCATTTTTAGTAACTTTGGGGAAATGACCAAATTTCATGAAAAAGGACTTTGACCGTCGTTTTTTGCTCTTAAAAATCAGCCACTGGTTCCCTAGCGGTAAAATTCTGTTCTGAATCCGAATCCGTCGAGAGATTTGACGGATTACATCGTCTTGTTGCCATTCTGGAAAAGCAGTCCTCCATAAGCCCCTAATAAAATGAAAGTTTTAGAATGGCAACAAGACGATGTAATCCGTCAAATCTCTTGACGGATTCGGATTCAGAACACAAATTAACCTCCAGGGAACCAGTGGCTGATTTTTAAGAGCAAAAAACGACGGTCAAAG